AAGAGATGAACTAGGGTTTGAGATGAGATGGTGATGGTGAAGTTGTTGATGAAGATTGATCCTCCCACGATGAGAGGGTTGTTGGTGATGATGACTACTTCAATTTCCCCCTCCCGGAGGGAAGTATCCCCGGCGGAATCGCTCCGCCGGAGAGCAAAAGTGCTCCTGCCCAAGTTCCGTCTCGAGATGGCGGCACTCCATCCCGAAAGTCCTCTCCTTATTTTTTAGGACAAATGAGATTATATACCAGAAGATGGGCACCGAAGGCTGGCCACGGGCCCCACTACCCAGGGCACCTGGGTGGCCCCCTCTGGTACTTCTTTTCTCCAATAATTTTTATTTATTCGAAAATAAATCTCCGTGAAATTTCAGCTCATTTGGAGTTGTGCAGAATAGGTATCTCTGATGTAGTTTTTTCAAGTCCAGAATTCCAGAGGCCGACAACCCCCCTCTTCAAGTAAACCTTGCATATTAAGAGAGAAAAGGCATGCAACCCTAGCATGTATATGTCTGCGGTAAATTCAAATGTACTCTGATCCGATCAACACAGCGTGCCGGATCGCATGCCCGATCACAACCAAAAAGAAGCAAATATGCTTAATTTTTACATGCCTGAATCCAAAAGAACATTAGTCCGACAGTACGTGCATTTCTGCCCTGTCGGAACGGCAATCCCAGACAATTGCTCCCCGATCAAGGAGGTTCCATCGCCACCGCGTAGGCAGCCTCCGCCGCGTCCTCATAGTCGCCAACGCATCTTTTCTGCAATTGAAACATCTAGAAGCGGACGGATTGCACATTCATTCTTGCGTCAGCATCCAAAGATTCAGCAATCAAGGTCAACATCTTGGCATCCTACACATTGGCGGCGATCTTCACCCTCTTTTTTCTCGAGCACGACCTTCCTCTCTTCGATCATGGCCCTCCTCTCTTCGAGTTTGAGCTTCTTGTCTATTGCGTCCATCAACAGTTTGATCCTCTCCGTCTTCTGCTCCTCCTTGATCTCCAAGCACCTCATGCATGCCTCCTCCCTCTTCACCAAGATGTCCTCAAACCTTTCTGTCATCTTGGCTGCCGCACCTTCTTGCTTCGCCCTATCCTCCTCCCAGCCACCGCGGGTCGGACATCCAGGAGACACCCTTCACCCGCGGGGAGCCCGGGGAGAAGGATACTCCACCATTCTTTATAGAAGTAAAAAATGTTTCAAAGTTACTTCAGCCGGTATGATTAGCTAGAATTCCCCAATAAACCATATTAAGGGAGTGTTCGGAGTCCCTCCGCTCCAGACTCAGCTCGCGGAGTTGGCAGAGCTGCAGGCTAAAATAGTGGAGCTGGAAAATAGGTGCTCTGCAGATCCTATTATTCCGCGGAGCTGGCGGATAGCCGAACAGCCCGTAAGACGCTGTAGTAAAAAAAGCTACTGGTTGAGCGTTATCCTTAGAAAATAAAAACACTGTTTTCTTTTCTTGCTCGTCCCCATCATCCCTCTCAGAGCAAGTATAATAGAGCTGAGTCAGCGGGCTATAAAAAATAAATTAGTATATTTCTGCTTAGTTGGAGGAAAGAGAAGAGGAGAGAGAAGGTAAGCGGGCTCTTCGTGAAGAGCTAGCTCTAGCACGTGCTCCTAAACACTTTGTGAGAATGAAAGGTGGGCCACATAATACAAAAGTAGTACACTCTTTTGATCTATTATTGTACATGTTCGCTATAAGATAGGCTGTAGATGACATGGCACTGACTTATAGCCGGAAGCTGGCTATATTATTAACCATGCTCTCAGCTCTCACGGTTAACATCTGAAATCCTGTGGCCGCACCACCTGATTGAAAGGCTGAAACTTTCCCCTCCCGAAACCATCGCCTCGCCTCCACCGACCACCATGCCGCCGGACGGAATCGTCGAGGATATTTACCTCCGCCTCCGCCGGACGAGCCCGCGTGCCTCGTTCGCGCCTCCCTCGCCAGCAAGCTCTGGCTCGGCCATCTCACCGGCCCTCGCTTCCGCGAGCTCCATGGAGCGCCCCCCATGCTGGGCTTCCTTTACGATTGGTTCTGGGACTACATGCCGGAGGAGAAAGACGCCGTCCCGCGCTTCGTCCCCGACCACCACTGGGGGGAGGGGACTCGGGCTCGGACTACAACGCGTTGGACTGCCGCCATGGCCGCGTTCTCCTGGGGATTATGGCGCGCCCATGCCGCTCGTCGTCTGGGACCCCAACCAAGATGGAAGGGCCCAAAGGACAGGATATCGGTGTCATGAGGGCGCCTTCAGGGTCGTCGTCTTCGGCATGACCACCCATGGTGATCATCCTGTTATTATACAGGTGTGCGTGTCCTCGCCCAACACGGGTGAGTGGAGCGATCCGTGCCCTGGTCTTGATCTTGGCGTTGACGCATTCATCATGCCGGTGCCCCCTGTCGTCATCCGAGATAGATGCAGTTTACTTGATGCATGCATGCGCGTGGTGAGCATGATCACATTACAGGAATTCTCAAGTACGACTTGGGCTCTAATTGCTTATCGCTGATTGACATGCCGCTGCCGGGGGCTGTCAATGTCGGCGACGTCATCCTCATGGCCATGGAGGATGGCAGCTTGGGGCTTGCACATGTCAGTGGATCAACCCTCTACCTGTGGTCAAGCTCAAGCCAGCGACGACATGGACTCAGCGTAGAGCCATCCATCTCAAAACCCTTCTTCCCATTCAAAATCCCATGGAAGGACTTAGACTGATTGGATCCATTCAAAACCCTTCTTCGTGCTTACGGACCTTGGCATCTACTCCCTCCGTTCCAAATTACTCGTCGTGGTTTTAGTTCAAATTTGAACTAATACCACGACGCGTAATTTGGAACGGAGGGAGTACCAGATTAATCTTAACTCACTACAGTGGAACAAGATATGGAAGAGACAAAAATTCTTTGCTTTGATTCCCTACATGAGTTTCCACAATCCACAAGGTATATTTGTTATTCCCCTTCTTTTCTGGTTTATTACGAACAACGCTTAAGCAACAATAATATTTTGGTTAGCCCAACAAACAGAAATATTGAATGTTTAATCAGACTGAAGAAAGTTTTACTTGATGATGATTCAGTTGGTGCGCTCGACTAAACTTTGAGAGCTGTGTACACTCGAACGTTACATCTAATTGGCAATTTTATACATGTCTTCTCTTTTTGGAATCACACTCACAAATCTATGTTGGCAGAAAGGATGAGCCCTGAAATGTGAAGCACCGGTAACATATGGTTGAATATGCTTTAAGGGCAGGAGGCCACTATCATCAATAGGAAAGATGACTACTTGGAGTGGAGGCGACATGGCTCTTGTGATTAAACATTTGGTCAGTAAGCTTGATAATGTCCCCGTGTTGTTGATGTGTGTAAGCAGGGGAATGGATTGCCTTTGTAATTAACCTCTAATTTCTTGCCGCATCAGCTATGTGCTTTCTTGTTTAATCTGCTTGAAAATGCATCTGCACACAATATCTTAGCTAGTGTTCCCAATTGAAAACTTTCAGTTAGCCCTACAAGCTTTTTATCCAATCTCTAATAAATTGTAAATTCATCTTCCAAAAGAGGTGCAGCTGATGAGCAGATGAAGATGGCATGTCCAGAGCTAGTGGTTTCTATCTCCAAAGAGATCATATGACAATGCTTTCTGCATGCTGGCTTGGTGATGTGTCGTAATTAATCTCGTGGATTTAATTAGTGCTATGTGTAGTCAAGTGCTGATGTTACTGCAGGTTTGAACTGCACATGTTTTCTTGCTGATGTTGCAGCATCCTGCAACTGTCGAGTTATCGATTTTATGAAACTACATGGTTTTGTCAGCCGTTCTGCTTGTTTAATATGCAAAATTTGTTTTCCTATTCATGTTCTACAGCACTGAAAAATCTGTTCTTTTCTCAGAATACGAAAATTTAATACGAATTTTTTGTATTCTTTTCTCAGAAGATGGAACCTTTTGTGTAATCTGACCTATCTCTCCTTGATTTTGATGTTGTTACTTGAACTGTCATGAATGCTCAGTATATAAATTTAGATGTTTATATGGTTTCTGGGTGCTTCAGAAGCAACACATTCCACCCCTTTAGAAGCCTAAGATTATGAGTACAACTTGGCCACTTCTCACTCATCTTTGTGCACCCATGCTTATTCAGTTGGTCTTTTGTCTGTCAGAAACATTACAACTTTTTACTGAGCATACCGCCAATAAATTTTATCGGATCTATGAAACAACTTGAAACTAGATTAGACTCAGACTAAAATTACTTGATCTTCACATGGGCAATAGCTTCTTTCCTTTACTGTTGCATATGCTTCTTTTTAATTACTTGATCAAGCAAGCACACTGAGAAAGGATTCTGTATGAATTTCCTCAAAAGCATTCTGCATAGGCACGTTAACCTGTGAACATGTTTTATTATTTTGGCCTGACAAGTGGCTACAAAAAAGGTTAATCATCCATAGCTTCAATCAATGAGATAAATTTATTTGCATTCTTAACAACATGTTTGGAATATTTGCTCTTCCTATTCGCAAGTACATGTTTGGTTGTTGGGGAGTTCAAAAATGATTTTTAAGACCTTGAAAAATGGTTTCTCCGGAATATTTGCTCTTCGTCTTCTTAACTACTACTCCATCCGTCCAAAAAAGCTTGGAAAAAAGGGCGTAGAATTCATGAAAGTAATTCTTCATTGTATATACACCAGAACTAATACGCCGCTTTTCAGATCAATACAATTCGATCCACAAGTATATAGGAGCAAGAGTTGATGTGTAGATTGTAATACAATGTAAAGGACAGATTACACATACAGTACTGCTTACAAACAACACAACACAAGCGTACAGTGCAAGTATATATATACGAAATAGTATGCACGTATGTATGTATTTACTAGAAGAAATCAACAAACTAATAATCTCAATCGATACCCAATCAAGCTGTTGGCCGGCCTCATCAACAACAACAAAAATAGTACAAGAAAATCCTCACAGCACGACCTTGTTCTTGCGGAATGGCGCCAGCAGGGAGAAGGACCGAGAAGCTGCATTTGTGAAGTGAACATGTACATTTATCTCATTTCATTTCATTTCAGGGAGAAAATTAACTTATGCTAGTTTCATTTACGGTACATACCTTTGTAAGAAGAGCCTGCAGAGTCGTCTTGTGAAATGAGGTTTTTCAGCATCGAACCTGAATGAAACATGAAGCACGGTTAGTTACAGCAATGAGCGAGCGCTTGCAATAGTGCAATCAAAATTGATTCATTACCATCTCCTGCAGGGGCTTCGTCGACTGACGATGCATCAGAATCCATCGTTGAAGTGTGGCTCTTCTTGCCGAATTTCAGCAGTTTCCTGAAGCCTTTCGGTTCTTTGCTTCGAGGCTTGCCATTTTCTCCATGTGTCTCCTCGGCTGAGACTGCATATGCAGCAGGCTCAGGTACGCGTGCCCTCACGCTCGCTGCACGCGCAAGTGTCTCGGGTTCCTGCGCAGGTAACGGGTGCTGGTTGTAAGCAGGAGTCTTGCTTGAAGCATCCTCCAATGATGTTACCCTGGCAAAAGGGGCCTCATAAGGCTTCTCCTCCATTGGAGCCAGCGGGGCTGGTTTCTCAAGCTCATCCTTCTTGTACTCAGGCACATCCACCTAGCCATAACAAGCAGTAATTCTCTTATCAATGTCGGCTTAATTAACAAACCTTAAAGCAATGTTTGATTTAATAGCATGGTAATAACATTGCATTTTAGTCGAAGGCTGCTGCACAGATAATCCGAGCTCAAAAGTACTTAATGAAGAGACACAGCAAAACAGATACCCCAAAGAACAGAGCATCAGGTAAATGAACAGGGGAAGTATTAGTGTTGGATCATACATACCTCATAGGAATTCAACTGGTTGTCAGATGCATGGATGGTAGGATTTGCATCTTCAGGAAGATCAACGGGAGAAGGTGGAGCCCTGATGGCAACATACTCCTGCTCCAGACTGGGATAGTCCATTCGGTCATCGCTGCGAGTTTCGCTCTCTGCACTTCTTCCAGGAGGTAGAACAACAGGAGGCGTAGAGACCACTTCGTTTTCAAGCATCACGACGGTCTTCTCAACCACCACATTGTCATCACTGCTGATTACCCTTGAAACTTTACCGTTGGAAGATTTCTTTCCATCTCTACTTTCTGAAGTAGCATGTGCTTTAGGTCCACCACGTGGCGCCTCTTTTGCTACTTTAGCCGCCGCCTTGTTCTTCACAACGACAGCGGCAGGGGTTCGGGGGGATTTGACTTTCAGCTCTGGTAGGGCTGCCGACTTGGTCTCGTCGAGCTGCATTATAGCAGAGATTTTCTTGGTCTGCACATCTTCCGGCAACGGCAAGCTTCTTCTCCGTGGGTGATCCACGCTCGCTGACTTGGGATTCGAAGGATGGTCAGTCGAAGCATTGCTTTTAGGTTCAGCAAGCTTTTTCAATCGCTCAATCGACGATTCAGTTCTGCCACTTTTCTCCTTTTTGATCTCAGCCAGTGATGAGGTTGACTTGCTCACTGCACTTGAGCTGTCACCGCCGAGTTTGCTTGCTTTGGCTGTTTTGTGAGGATCACTCCCTGGGGTACTGCTTCTGGCAGGAATAATTTTTCTTAGAGGCGAAGAGGATCCTGGTTCAGCGTCAGTGAACTTCGAACTCTTGTGGGTACTGGGAGAAACCTTTGGAGAAGGTTTTGCTTTAGCCTGCGGCGATGTTGATGTTGGATTAGATGCGCCACTTCTTGCAGCGATCCTCTTTTGCCTCTCTTGCTTAAGCCTTTCGAGCCGTTTAATCTGTTCGGCTTCCTGAAAATACGAGAAAAACACTGGTTTGAGCAATGCAGCAGAAAACTACTCCCTCCGTTCCTAAATATTTGTCTTTCTAGACATTTCAAATGACTACTACATACGGATGTATGTAGACATATTTTAGAGTGTAGATTCACTCATTTTGCTCCGTATGTAGTCACTTGTTGAAATGCCTAGAAAGACAAGTATTTAGGAACGGAGGGAGTACAATTCTTAGGTGGTAACTGATATTAAGAACAAACCTATCAAAAGGACAAGCGAGGGCATGCCATTTTTTTACATTAAAATTATCGTGTAGCAAACAGTTAAAAGATTCTTGGAAAACAAATAAAATAATAGGACAAGAGACCAGAAAATTCAAACTAAGAGCTCATACTACCTCGAGCAAAAAGTATCTCGTCTTGATAAGTTGGTGTTCGTTTGTTAATATAGCCATTTTGGTTGTACCAATAACAGGGGCAGGAAACAGTGTGTCTAAAAGACATTTAATCCTTGGTCTGTGTGCATGGA